GACCTGGGCTACCTCCGACAACAGCCCCTGCCAAAGCTGCTCCCACTATCACGGCCAAGGCTAAGGCAACAGGGCAGATCCCCGGGTGGTCGATCACCATCAACATTCGGCCCCTCCTATGATCGAGTGCTGAGGGATGTTCAAGCACGACCTTTCTGCAGAGCTAGCACCACAGGTGCATGTGACAGCTGTCAGTTCTCTGCCGTCTCTTCCTGTATGAAGACTTGCCGATTTGTGCCCAGCAGCCTTTCGGGTCGGATTCACAAAAGCCGTGCTGTCCTTGTCAGTGTGCCAGTACTGCCACCTCTTAGGTGCCCACTGCTACTGTCACAGAGGACTGTCCTCCATGATGACTGTACCGCCCAGGCCGTCCTCATGGCAGGCTTCGAAGACCTCGCGAAGGCTCCAGGTCAGCGACGCCCCTCATCTGCAATCGGCGCACCCCTGCCTAGAGATGCTCGCCACAGGTATCAGGTCTCTCGAGACGACCACTCCGGTGTTCTTCTTGCCCACCACCGGGTTTGGATCTCAGTCTTGCTGCTGCATCTCGTGACCAGCCAATATGAGACTCTGCCGCGTCCTTGTGTGCACCTTGCAGCCCCACCATGTGGTCACCGTGTGTGCCTGCAGCTTTCTCCATACCAAGCATCACTGCAGATCCTGGAAGAATATGTGGTGCCTCAGCAACTTGCCACTACTTCTGCCCGTCCTGCATCCCTTAGGGCTGTGAGACCTCTTGCAGACTGCTCGCAGGTAACTTCTCCTCAACTTCCTAAGTCGATGGACTACCCTGTGCTAAAGTGCCCTACCTGTGCCTTTCGAGGGATCATGGAGCCAGCCTCTGAGCATAGCTGGCCATCCTGGCAGGCAGCACTTGTCCCGCTTACAGTCGGGACAGAAGTGGAGGTGACTGATGGCCACAGACAGCACCTTATAGGCCGCCGAGCGATTGTGCTCCCTACCTTGGAGTGCGATCGCAACACCACGCGAAATGTGCGGATGATACAAGGCCCTCGAGCTGAACAACGACGTATTTATACGATCGACAGGGAGCACCTTGTTCCCCGACTGGGGTCGGAGGCTACACAAGCTTCCATGTGTGATGGAATGGAGCCGAGTCTGAGGTGGAGATGTGCACCCCCACCATTAACCATCTTCAGCGCACGTTACCTTCTTGGCTACCAGGCCCTGGCGACCATGGTGCCCCCGGCGGCACCCAAACGGAGTCCAGCTGGCCACTATGTCCATCCCCCGTTGGAAGATGCTTCGCTTGAGGCACCCTGGGAAAAACACGCTGACCCAGCTAGCAATCGGCCCTTCTACTACCACCCAGGGACAAAGCAGGTGACTTGGCGAAAACCACGGCCGGCTCTGGTCCTTCCGAGGGAAGAGGAGATTGGGCCTACCAAGCCCAGGCGAGGCCGGTCTGAGATACCACAGCCGCGCACTCCTAGCCCACCTCCCTCCAAGCGGGTGAGAATGCATCCCACCACTGATGCTCGGCAGAGAACTACGAGCTCTGAGGCCCAGTCGTCAGGCTCTACTGCAGCCAAAGGCGCGCCAACTGCAGAGAGGAAGCCCGCTCCGGACTTTGATCCTCAATCTTCTGGTAGCCCTTCCGAGTGGAACTTGGCCGATCATGCTTTACCTGCCACCCCAGACCGGGTACTGCTCTGGGGAGCCAAAGCCAGGTCACAGCTACCACAACCGCCCAGTGCCCCTGCCTGCACTCTGGACGTGGAAAGATTTCTCCAGAGCTTCTTCAGGACACGGCAAGGCCCAGATGGCACCACCCTTGGTTGGCTACGTGGCTGGCACGGCTGCAAGATGGAGGCACTATACTCCATCATTTACCATGGACAGCTTCTGCCGAGCACCGATGAGTCGAAGGGTGACAGGTTTCTGGCAGGCTGTCCAGGGGTGTATTTGCACCGAGACAGCCTGCAACACAAGGTGGAGAACTACATGAGATGGATACCACTATGTGGAGACGGTCTCTTTTGGGCTGCCAAGTGGGAGGTGGTGTATGCTCCCTCGGGGAGCAATAAGCATGGCAAGCGCACTGATCAGGTTATACAAAGTGCTGAATCGGTGGAGCTGGTGGCCCTCTGGCTCTCAGTACGCTCCGAGAACATGCTGCCTGACGGGACTGCTGTGCAGGCCAAATGGACTCCTGAACGTGAGGCCAATCCACGCCTCACTCAGTTCAAGCGAAGAAGCAGTGCTCTGCTACAGACTATGGACCTCACGGATCCGTCTGCCTCTTCCAGGCCTCTGCCCAGCTCCAGCCTGAGTTCTGACCCGGCGATCGACACCAAAGGCCGACTCAAGCCGACGCCTAAAACACGCGGTCGCTTGTCACACATCCCTTCTGAACTGGAGAAGGAAGCTCACCATACAGTCGGGCAATTTGGTGCTGAAGTCGGCCACAGCAAATAGTTTGGAGGCTACGACTGCTACGACAACCGCTCCGGCTGCCACCTCGGACGTCTCGCCCCAACAGCCACCGTCAGATCTACCCCGTCGAGGACCCAAACGAGCTCGACCTGACACTTCCCCTGCCACTCCGAAACCACGGAAGATGCAGACAAGGCCCAAGCCGAGACGATCGATTTGGTTTGATGTCACGGACAATCCAGATGACCAACCACTTTCGTCCTCCACAGCTACAGCCAAAGGCCGCAGCACTGGTACGATCAAGGCCGCCAAGCTCCAAGATCGTGTCCGCAGAAGGATGGCCAGGAAGATGGAGGAAATCTTCCAGGCCAATAGAGCCGCTGGACTTCCCACGGACTCAGCTGCCTCATCCAGTGCTGCATACAAGGATCCAGCTTACAGTTCATCATGTCAGCGTCTGCATCAGCTTGGCCAGTCTTGCAAGAGGCAACACATGCCCCCTTCACTTAGACCTGCCATGCTCTTTGCCTTCGCTCCTCTAAGGTCCAGCCCACCAGTGGCTCCGACAGGCCAAGTTGACACAGGCGGGGAACGCTTTACTGAGCGCTTGGAGTTGCAGACCTCTGCACCTAGCCTCGGGCAGCCACCTAGGTGGGTTCCCTGCTCACAAACATTTGTTGCTCCCTCCACCAGCTACTGCCTGCAACACTTGTGGCTATCAGGCTCGTGTCTGCCGACATGTCGGATGCCCGACGGCAAGCCCGGATCCTTGCAGGTCCCTTTGTTATCCTGCTGGGGCTTAGAAAGGCCACTGAGCTCTTTCACATGCGCCTATCCAGGCCTTGAACGCCCAGTGTGCACATCTACCACCATGCCGGTCGGGCTCACATGGACCTACGGTGCCTCCCCACACCGTGATGATTATCGATGTGCTGTGCCTCGAGGTATGCCAGCTGCACTGGCAACAGGTCCTACTTTGTTGCATGCTCACTGCACAAGTGCTGTTCGCTCAAGTCATCAAACCTGGCAGGGGTGGCCGGATGCTTTCCTGACTGACCAACCTGAACATTGTCTGGTGTGCCTTCGACACACCAGACCATCTGCTGCTGGTCCTGCTTCGGTCCGATGCCCACCTCCACCACCAGGAGCTGGTTTGCAACCCGACGGGCTCTCAGTTCTTGCGACCGTCACTCCTAGGAGGACGATAGCTCCATCTAGCAGTTCCTTTAGCTTGCCTCCAGGTCTGTCTTCGCCACTGGGCGCAGGCCAGAGGGTCGAGCAGGCATCACTCTGGGACTCCTACTTGTCCAATTTGTGCAGGATATCCCGGGCACGTGGCTGGCCTATCGTCTGGCGGACCCATGCTGTGAGTGGTGTCGGCTTGAGTACCGTAGATGTACACCATATGCCACCCGTATGCAACAAACCAGCACCTCGCAGGCTAATAAGATCAGATCCCGCGAGCCTGCCTCTGACGTGCAGTTGCAACACAAAGCCTCCCACACGGCACTGGACCTGCACACTATGGATTAGCTGCGTAGACAGTCTGCTGCACCGCACTCCGATGCCGATGCAAGCATTTTTGTCAACATGGACAACTAGCACTATAAGGTGCCCCTCTCATATTCTCAACACACCTGCTCTGAGCTACTCCGGTCCCAATTCCGGAGACCGACATTTTCGTACGGCTGACAACCTGTCATCTTTCAGACACCAGCTGGTTGTCCATCTAGCCTCCGAACAGTCGGTAGGGGCGAGGGTTGTGAGCGGTTGCCACCCGCTCACGAGACCGAAACTCACCTTCGTGGTGAGGGACGGGAAGCCGTGGCAGGAGCCCAATGAACTACACTCTGCTGTGAGGGCAGTCTTGCGGGACCCCCCACCAAACCACACTATTCGCTCTGACCCAGGAGTCACTCTAGGCACTGCCTGTTCCCCTAGCCTGACCTCCTCTCCGTTCTCAGTCATCTGTTCATCGTGGGCTGGTCCGAGCGACCAGACTGCAGGCCCCTGTGGCGTGCCAAATAACATGGACAAGCTGCTGCCAGGATATGCTCCACCGCAGTTAAAGCCCCGGTATTTCTTCCTCTACAAACAGGGCCTACCTATTCGTCTTGTTGCCCATCTGGGCTCCAGCACTTCTACATCTTACCTCTCCTGGCCTTCCTCGTTTCAGGAGGCCTCCCCCTGGAGTACAAACACCAACACCTGCCACCCGACCTATCCACACCGCTGACAGGTGTCGTCCTCCGTCGACTACTGATCGACCCAGTCAGGCCCCTGGCACGTCGACGCACCCCAAGCTGTGCCCTCGTCCCATTCTGTTTCTCTCGACTCTGTTCGCCCTCCCAAGGTCGATCTGGGGAGTGACTTCTGCACACCCCCTGCACTCTACAGTAGCGAGTCACTCAGGAACCCTCAGTCCGGCTGCAGTCAACTCCACTGAGTACACATTTGCCAGGAAGCGATCCTACAAACGTGCCTTACGTCGTGCTGCACAGGACCAGGCCCAGCATACGGTTTATCGAGGCCGTGTCTGTACCCTGCAACAGCTTTGCAAAGGCTATCGGGGCCATCGACCCGCCCCCCAGGCTGAGCGTCGTATGCAGCAGGCCGCTCTGAAAGTCTCCCAGGGACGCTTGTTGTTCCTTTCATGGAATGCTGGAGGACTGTCCCAGGCCCTGTGGCAGGAATTCTTGCTAACACTTGAGAATATGCCACCTGACGATAGACCCCAGATCGTGTGTGTTCAAGAAACTCATTGGACGGATAAGGTGGCGCCTCAATTCCCCACTGCTACGTGGGATGTGTACACCTCCCCGACCACTGACAACAAATCTGCTGGGCTCCTGATTCTCCTCAACAAGCAGACTACCCGTAACTGCAGAATTGTCTACGCCGACCCTCAACCGGGCAGGGTGCAACACCTGAGGATACTCCACGACCAATGGGCAGTCGACCTGCTGCACATCTATCAAAAGCCGCACAACTCTCATCCACTCGCCCTGCAATCCTCCAAAACCATTCGCTTAGCTGTTTGGGAGTGCATTGGTCAGATCCTGGCGGCTCTACCTGCCCGCAACACGGTGATCATGCTTGGAGATTTTAATACCCAGATCAAGCCATGTGCTGCAGCTGGCACCAGGATCTGCTCAGGCAACAGCTCGGGTACACATCCGCCTAATCAGGCACGGTTGCAGCATCTTGTCGAGGACTTCTCCCTCCTACACCTCAACTCATGGTGCAAGGCTGCTGGCCCCACGTACCATCACAACAAAGGTGCTAGCCTCATTGACCATATCATCATGCGTTCTTGCCAAGCGGATGATCGTGCTCGGCAGGCTAGACCTCTCCGCCTGGGACTAGCCGCATGGAGACTTGGTGGCTACCATTTACCACTGAAGGCCAGTATTCCGCTTCAGCGTTTCCACACTCTCAACAAACCGGTGGCACCCAAACGGACATGGGATCATTGGGGCTTGATGCAGGTGTGCCGCTCTGCTTGGGATCCGCGAGTACACAGTCTGCGTACTGCCGTTCAGGCATCCCTACCTGGAGTCACTGATCTTGGGCAATTACATACTACTCTGATTCACTGTGCATCCCAATTTTTCCCGCCGCCCACAGGTCAGCATCGACTAGCGCTGTGGCAGACACCACCAATGCAAGATGGTATCCGATCCATGTGGCAGGCCTACCGAGCCTGGAAGACTGCCAAATCTCAAGATCGGCACAATCCGCTTTATGTATCCAGGTGCTATCATCACTTCAAGACGGCACACAAGGCCTTTCGTCACGCCGGGAAAGAAGCTAAGAAGCACTGGTTCCATGGCAGGCTCCAGGAACTACAGGCTGCCGCCTATTCGGGTGACTCCCGCAAACTTTATGCTGGCATCCGCACCCTTGCTCCTAAATCCTCCAAGCCGAAGGTTCAACTGCGTGATTCTGGTGGTCATCTGCAGGACCCTAAGATCCAGCTACAACAGCTGGAAACGCACTATCGTAAACTATATGCTGCAGACGAGGATACCAGCATCCAGGGCCCTCAGCGGACACCCATTCACATCGAGGTCACGGAGGCCGAAATGACCCTGGCACTTTCGCAATTGTCGCCCCACAAAGCTACACCTCCGAATCTAGCCACAAACTCTTTATGGAGGCTGACCTCGGACATTGTCGCGCCTCTCTTGTGCCAATGGTGCCGGCAATGGCCTCATATACCAGAGCTTTGGCGGAATGCATGGTTGACTCTCGTTCCGAAGATTCCGCGACCACTCTCACCCAAGAATCTCAGACCAATAGGGTTAACTGAATCCAGCGGCCGCGCATATGCTTCCATACTTCAGGCGAAACTGCGCCCCTATGCAGAGAGGTTCCTTATGGACCAGGCACAATTTGCATATCTACCGGGTCGCAATGCTGCTCAAGCAATACATCGTGTTGCCGCTCACTGCAAGTATGTCCAGGATCGCTGTTCAATCTCAACACCCACGGTTGTGGATCGCCACGCACAACAACCGAAACCCTGCCCACACTTTGCAGGTGCACAACTCTCACTGGACTTGTCCAGCGCTTTCGACCTCATGGACTGGCGCTTGCTGGACAAGGCATTACTTGCATCTGCTGTCCCGGCTGAGTTACGACACCAAATCATGTCCTGGCACTCCGAGATTTCCTATGTCCTTACCCACCTTGGGCACACTGCCAAAGTGGAGGCCCAACGAGGGCTTAGACAAGGGTGTAAACTGGCTCCGTTGCTCTGGACACTTGCCCTAGCACAGATATATCGTGAGCTCCTTGCAGAGGGGGACCCGCTCCTCACAGCCCCTTGGCTAGAACAAAGCTCCACGATTTATGCAGATGATATCCACCTTAAAGATACCGTGCAGAACACTCGTGAGCTGGACGACATGGTGTCTCGCTTTAGTAAGATCCTCGATGCTCTTGCCGCCCATGGTATGGTCATCAACTCGGCCAAATCAGCACTGTTGCTGAGACACAAGGGAAGTTTCATCAAAGGCTGGCTGCGACGACACCTCATACACAAACCCGAGGGAGATCTACTACGCTTTCGTAGCCCCCTGGGAAAGGTGTATGAAATTCCGTTGCGTGACCATCACACGTACTTAGGCATTCGCATCTCATATCATTCCCAGGCCAAACAAGCAGTCACCTATCGGCTACAGGCTGCGAACCAGGCATGGCAAAGACTTCGTGGTGTACTGTGCTCCACCAGGCATCTTGCTCAGACACATCGTCTCAGTCTATGGAAATCCACAGTGCTTCCCACGCTGCTCTATGGCATAGCGGCATCCAACCCAGGTGCCAAGGACATCCAGCGTATGCAGCACATGATGACCAAGCAGGTTCGAGCCATCACCCGATCTTTTGCACATCTTCAGAAAGAATCCACACACGACCTCCTGCACAGATGCTCTCTGTTTACCATCTTGGAGCATCTACAGAGGGAAGCCGCTGCCTTGCATCGCAGCCTGACCAGCCTGAGCACCCAAACGAGCTTCGTGACCCAAGCCCAGGTGGAAACAGCTCGAGACACAGCCGCTACGCTCCACCTACAAGTGCAACGCCAATGGCAGGTACCTCTTGGTGACAAAGAAGGCATCACTGACCCTGCAGTACACCAGTGCCAGGAATGTCATCGGGTCTTTACCTCCTTTCGGCTCCTCCGCTCTCACGAGGCTAAGTGGCATGGACTCAAAACACCTGCTGCCGTCCCGGTGCCTTTTGACAGGTATGCACATGGAACAGAAGGACTTCCAACGTGCAGACATTGTGCCCATCCCTTCCGACAATGGGACGGACTTGTCAAACACATCAAACGCAATCGGTGTCAGGTACTCCGTAGACTTGCTACACAACCTCCTGCTGATGCCCAACCCTTGGCTCCGAGCTCCAATGAATCCGATCCTTTACCAGTCCTTGCCCCGGTTATCCTGTCACCTCAGGACTCCTCTCAGGAGACCTACATCCTGCAAGAAGCTCAGGCTGCCACGCCTACTCCTACTCCTGCCGTTATACCTGAACCCCCTGTCACAGACGCTCCCCTGCAGGACGGCTCCACTACACCGAGCCATGAGGCTGTTCCCCTTCATCAGCAATCTCATGTTCTCGCAACGCTACGTGCACGCAGGTGGACTGACCTCCTTGAGAAGCCGGAGATCTACTCGTATCTCCAGCACCACTGCCCGCTGTGTTATCAGTGGCTAGCCACTCCTACCAGCATCAAGTATCATCTCACCATGCAACATCCAGAGTGGAAAGACTGCCAACCTGCGACTCTCAAGCTCCTTACTGGTTTCCGCCGACATACTGTAGTTCCATGCCGCTACTGTCATCAGCGAAACATCAACAAAGATCGACATTGGAAACAGTGTCATGTTTTGCATATCTGTGCATTTCTAGCAGCGCATCATGACGCTCACCGCGGATCCCATGGAGCTGGACGAACAGGAGAGGCAATTTTGGGCCCAGGCTGGTCCGGTCAAACGGGAACAGGAACCGAGAAGAGATATGCTGCACCAAGCCGAGCAATCCAAGAGGCAGCGTCTGGCGCCGCAGGACCGGAACAAGGGCAAGGGCAAGGGTACCAAGGGCAAAGGCAAGGGAAAGCAGGGCCTACCAAGTCCACCCAGTGCACACCCGGCCATGGGTTACACAAATGGTTTCGGAAGCCATCCACCCAATCCCTGGACACAGACACAGGACCTGCAGCCACTGGGAAGTCAGGATCCAGAGTGGATGGAGTACAGGATGAATCGACTATCTCAGCTGGTCCTTCGTCAGGAGCAAATCATCTCAGCCATCCGTCAGGATCTGGTCCTCTACCTCTTCGTACGATCGGGGCCAGAAGGGATGGTGCCAGTTCTCTGCGAAGCAGCGGAGAAGTGGAGGAAGATGAAAGAGGAAGAACCCGAGAAGATCACTTACTCCCTCAAACTCATGCTATTCAAGCAACTGCTCATCACCTTACACCAGAGGTTGACCAACATGATCGCGGACGAGGATGCTCTCGCCAAAGCCAAGAACCTGAACTGGATCGACGATCAGAAACATTGGAAACATCTCACATGGAATCCTTCCAAACAATGTCTGGAAGTCGACAACTCAGTGAGGCCAATACCGGCGGAGGATCTGTTGGCCCAACTGGTTCAGATGAGGAAGGCAGTTACGGAAGAGACCCTGGTGAGGTTCAAGTCCATGCGGAAGCTCACCACGGAGGTGACCTCCGACTGGATTCAATTCCAGATCTGCTTGTCACTTCGCCCAGAGGGAGGAGCCATGTGGAGTACGCTGAACCAGTGGATCGGTCAAGCATCGTGGCACACCCTGGGATGCAGGCTCCGTCGCGATCGACCGAACTACGACACCCTGGTCCAGGAAGTGTGGCAACATCAGATGCCATACTGAGTGTGCGCCCTAGTCTCAAGGCCGTCCTTCGATTGATTTTCCACAATCCATCGAATTTGTGCTACCTACACTCTACCATCTATGCCCTTCTGTGGACAATCCTTCAGGCTAGGCTGCACGATGCCTACATTTCGCCTCCACCGCAGGCTCTTACCATGCTGTGTCCACCAATCACTGCTTCACCTAATTGTCCCATTCAGGTGCTCCATTCGGTACCGTGGCTTATGCTGCTGCAAGCTTGGCATTCTGTACATCGTCAGCATGATGCAGCTGAGTTGCTACAATACCTCTTACCCAGGTTCTCGCATAGTGGGTTCAATGGTGGCTGGGAGGCCAGAAACTTTGCACCTGGAGGTATTGTCACTCTTGACACGGGGCCTACCCAAGCTCCAATCACGATTGTGCTACCGGCAGGTCCAAGCTTGGAGCTTCAGGCAGCCATTGATGGGTGGAGTGCTCAGGTTACAGCCCGTTATGCACTGCTGACCCCGTCTCCCATGCTCTGCATACAACTTCAGCGCTTCGCGAATGCCGAGGGAGTCATGCGCAGGGACACCAGACCACTGGTTGTGGCCTCGACTACAGTTCGTATGCCACTCTTTACAGGTCTGCACACTATGCAAGTTCGCTATGTTCACTACCAGGTCGTCGCCGTACAGCTTCACTACGGGGCCACTCCTGATATGGGGCATTACAGAACTATCCTACGAGGACAACCGCTGTTTGGGGCAGAAAAATGGTGGATCACTGATGACTTCTGCACAGCAAAGCCAGTCGGCACAGAACACGATGGCAACATATACATAGTGTGGCTACGTCAGGTACTTCCTCCTGATGCCTGACGCTGAGCAAGTGTAGTCTTAGTAGATGGAGCTGGCACTGCCCTCCAGAACCCAACAGAGGTTCCGATACCCCGAATACCGGGTTATCGTCAGCTCGCTAGGCGAACCCGGACACTTCGCTGCGTGGTGAATGAATACTACTACTACTACTACTACTACTACTACTACTACTACTACTACTACTACTACTACTACTACTACTGCTACTGTTGATGATATAAATCCTGCATTACATTACTGTAAGGACCCTAAACTAGGGGATTGTGGATGTAGTGCTGCTGCTACTACTACTGCTGCTACTACTACTACTACTACTACTACCACTACCACTACCACTACCACTACCACTACCACTACTACTACTGCTACTTAAGGCACGATGCTTGAAATTAGGCGTGGCGGGCATTTGGACGTGCTTTTTCGTCTATGGCATCCTCCAGGAGCTTGTCTGCCAGGCATTATCTCGTTCCTCCTTTACGGCCTGCGTTTCAGCAAATCCGCAGGTGGGGGAACCGTTCCCCAAGCATGATTACCACCGCGTCCCGAGCAGGAGAGTATCTTCGTCTACAAAACTGCCACGGGTGAGAAGCTGCGGCCTCGGTAGGACCGGTTTGATGCTTCGTTCAGGAATTGTACTTCGATTGACGATATGCCGCATATGCCTATGTTCAGCATGACGACCCTGACCATCGTCGTCACCCACATCATCCTCGCCATCACGCCATCGTCGTCATCATCATCGCCATCGCCATCACCATCATCGTGGTAACAAATCAACACCACAATCACCACTACAGTTGTCCATGATCAGCATTTTGCTTCTTGCCATCGTCATCGTACCGGTATCAACATCATCATCGCCATCATCGTCATCATCATCGTCATCATCAGTACTATTATGATCATCACCAGCATCATCACCATCACCATCACCGTTATTCTCCGGCTTTGCAGTATTGGTAAAATAGCAGCACCCCGCAGCGGTTTCAGCAATGAATCCGTCATAACGACAACAGTTTGCGTATAGGGGTTCTCGAATAGATGGCACCCACAAAAAGTTAAACAACCGCGGGCAAATTATAACCGCACTTTTCGGTTGTGGCTTATACAGAGCAACTAGTTGGCACACGTCGGGTGTGTGTGTGTGTGTGTGTGTGCCAAGTGCACTGCGTGAAAATGGGTTTGAGAAGTGAACTGCATGGGTTGTGATTTGAAACGGGGGTTTCCGAAAATAGGGGACCCTAATATAGTACCCTATAAATAGTAGGATCCTTATTATAAGGACCCCTAAATAAGGTACCCCTATTTTCGGAAACTGCCAAATGGTTAACAACGCTTGTTTGGCACACGCTCGTGGACCTCTTGCTCCTCCTCCTGGTGCTCCTCCTCCTTCTCGTGTTCCTGCTCCCGTGCTCGCTGCTCCTGCTGCTGCTCCGAAACGCTGGTGGAGATTATTTGCTGGAGGCTACAGGTAGGTAGAAGGTTGGAGGCTTGGGTTGGTGGCTAGTGGTATGATGTACGGGGCGTGTGCCATCTATGTGTGCTTGTGTGCGAAGTGGGGCGGTTGGGGAAGGACGAGCCAACCCGGCACGGAAGACTAAATGTAGGGTTTTGGGGTTTAGGGCTTTAGTCGGGTGTTTGGGTTTAGGGTGTCGCCCTTCGTGGCGTTAGGCTCGGGTTCTCGCCCTTCGTGGCGTTAGTTAGGCTCGGGTTCTCGCCCTTCGTGGCGTTAGTTAGGTTTGGGGGGTGGGGTGTTAGGGTAGTAGATATTGGGGTGTTAGGGAACTGCCTCAGCCCAGAATCCTTAAACACGAAACCCCAGGAGGACGGGCAACTTCACTGCGTTTGGAAGTGTTGCAAAGTTGTCCTGACCTGTTCGAAACCCCCTACAGTGAGAACAGGCTCTCAGAAGGACGAAGCACATTGCCCCTCCAGCCGTCATTCAAGAGCTGATAAAGCTTGGAATGGCAACGGAGGCTTTGATTGTTATGAATTATTGCCCAGACTTCAGCCAGGTTGGCTCCCGCCGCAAACCTACGTTTCACAAGAATATACACATCGGAACTGCCTCTCCAACAATCCGCTGCATTGCTCGTGCTTGTTCTGATCGTCATTACACTTTCTCGGTCTGAGATGCTAGTTAACATCTAGTACATGTACTCAGATGGTTATGTCTGTGGTTAGCGCTCATGATCAAATTGATTATCAACACACGTGCACTTGGTGTCAGTATCAGCGCCCTCGTCAGAGTCGACATCATCATCATCATCATCATCATCATTGTCATCATTATCGTTATCTTCGTCATCGCCACTTGCATTACCGTCATCGTCAGCGTCACCGTTAGAATCGACAATGACGATGGCAACAGCATGATCTTTATCGTCATGTTCGCCCTCACCATCCAACATTGCCATCAGCATCCGCCGTACCAGCACCTGCGCCATCCTGTGTCCGCAGTAGCATCATCATCGTCGCCGTCATCATTATACCAGTCGCCATCGTCGGCACCACGATCATCGTAATCGTTCGAACAAGGCATTCCTGAAGATGAGGCAGGGCTGAGAAGGAGTGCTTCTAGGGGTTCGGGCAGTCCACACCTGAACCCCACACTATCCTATACTCGAAACTCTGAGACCCCAAACCCCCAAGGCCCCCAGGGCCCCCAAGTTCAGGTTTAAGCAGACGATGGTCTTGCTCATTGTGGAGCACACAGTGCCGGGCCCTGAGTTGCAACAGGGCGCTCTACGAGTGATCACTGTACCAGACGCAGCAGCAGCAGTACCAGTGAGAGAAGGTTAGGAGTACATGCAGTGGCCAGGGGGACCTCGTGTGGGTGCATCAATCAAAAGGGCCTCGTAGCAAGTTTCGTGCAAAAGGACTGCCACTATGCTTTTGAGCGTTTATCTAAATGTGTGGAATGGTGTGGCTATTCCATCGTCATGTAGGCATTGAGGTCCGGATGGTCCGGCTTAAGTTACACGGCAATAGACTCATTCGCGTGAAGATGCCGCGAAGACTTTAAGTTTGAAATGTAGCATGTTATGCCAATGCTCACGTGTATTCAGTGGTAGTGGTAGTAGCAGTGACTGTGGCAGTGGTGGGAGCGGTACCTGCAGTGGCGGTAGGGTGGTCTCCGCAGTTGTAACTGTAGTGTCGCTACTGCGGTACCGCAGTGCGATGACGACAGCATTTGGATACTGAACATTAAGATGGAGACGAAGATCAGAAGACTGTCTCCTACTTCGGTAGCCGTGTTAGAGAGACAGCGCGAGATTCTCCCTGTACTTTTTTACCTTGAGCTCGGCGCCTCGCGAGGTCAGCCCTGGTGGCCCTGGGGATCATCATGCGACGCTCCCAGAATCCTATTTCATATTATATGGGCGTAAATCAATTACCCGTTTTGGAGTTCCTTATTCCAATTATGGTATCAAAAACCTCAAAACCTATTCTCATGATTAAGGCCATTAAGGACCTTATGTTACGCTTTCGGCAGAAGCCTGCAGGGAAGCATAGGAAGTAGGACGACAGAGCGGGACTCGTGCTTTTGGGGGGAATTTCGTGCTGACAGGTTTGGCCCTGGGCCCAAGAACAAGTGGTGGGGGGCCTCAGCTTCTTCGGGCGCAACTGCTGAGTTGCCTGAAGCATGAGACTTTGCTGAGACTGACACTGTCTGTTCTGTTCAGCTCTGCCCAAGGCTGCCATACCTCCAGTCGCAGGGCATCGTTGCTTGTGCCTCTCTCAGCTCCCCGGGCACCTGCTTGAGTTTTGGGGTTACTTGAGGACTTTCGCAGGACAGAGATCCGGTTTGATAGCCCTCGTGACTCGAGCGCCTGGGCCAGGGCTTCACAGCCAAACGTGCCAACATGTCCGGGGCCGCATCGCTTCTCCCGCGCCTGCTGCAATATGCGCAGGAGCGGGTGGCCAGCACACGGGCAGAAATCCTGTCGAACCTGAGGGCAAAGACTGAGCTTCCCCTGGTGTTGGATGTGGCCTTGCCGGGTGCAGCCTACTTCTCCGTCGCAGCTGGAGGGCTTTGCGATGTTCTGAACTTACTCGGTGAGGATGTTGTGAAAGTTGATCGCTTTGTTGGTGCCAGCGGCGGTGCTTGCAGCCTTTTCCTGATTCTTGCGAACGACAAGCGAGAAGCCGCTGAGCAAACTGCTACTCCGGCCGCCCTCTGTCCCAGGGCCGACCTTCTGCTGCAGTCATACCTCGAGTATGCCGAGTCGGAGGGTTCCGGCACCGTCCAGCGATCATTCAACGCATTCTGGCAAGCTGTGGCTGGGGTGTCTTCTTTCTGGGAGGACCTTGCTCCCGATTCGACACCCTAACGGCCCTGACGTTTAACGCTTCCCACCTCCCTTTGAGCCAAAGCACTTCTCATGTGAGGACAAGTATCGAGCCCTTCTTTCTCAAGAGCCTGCCTGGACGGCAATTCGTTCTCGGGGCTTCTGCGCCGTGGCTGCTCGACCCCTGCGTCAGCAGCTTTTCGGGGCTGCGCCGTGCGATGCCTCGTCGTACCGCGCCCAAGGGGACAACTACATCTTGCATAATTTTGCAGAGAGGCAGGAGGCTGTTCAGGCATTTGTTGCCACCGGGGAAGCCACTGCAAAGGGCTTTACCAAGGGCATACAAATTCTGAGCCGTGATCAGAAATTCTCTGCGGGGCCATCAGAGAAGGAGCCAAGCATCTCTGCATACAGCCTGCCTGCGAGCTTCTGCGATGGTGGACGACCAGCGGTCTTTGATGTCCTTCATCATAATCGGAGCCCCAATGGGTATCTTTACTACAATACCTGGTTTGAGAATGCCTCAGAAGCTGCCTTCTGCACAGCAGAGAGCATTGAACATCTCTACAAGCGGGGTGTGGACCGAACCATCGACTGTTTGCTCAGCGAGTCCTTGGCATCTCCGGTGCAGAGCAGCAAAGCAGGCAAAGACAGCATGGTCCTGGCTCTTCCCGGTGCAGATCCTGTCGCAGAGATGGCAAAGATCGGAGTGAAGACTCCTTTGTACGGAGGCTCCTTCGTGAATCTCACAGCGAGTGAGATAAGGGAGCAGAAAACCCTCGCTTGAGCTGCTTGGAGAAAAATGGAGACCTCGTATAGTCTATAGGGCCTCGGGCTCCAGCCTTCCCGGTGCATTGAGGGCATGCGAGACTGTAGGAGTTGACGCAGCAAGCACGCCACTCACAATGATCGCAATTACCAGCTTACGCAACGCGGTCGTTGTGGAATTCACGCAGATCAAGTAGTCCTATCAGCTTCGATGATCGTGGTCGATGCAGGTTGACGCCGTAGTCTCAATAGTCATACTCTGGGCAGCCGTGCCGGCACTAACGACCGGGACTAACGAGGACCAGCGGATGAAGCGCCCAGGATCATGCTCGTGATCACAGTACCTAGACCACAACAGTGCTGTTTGTCCTACAAACGATGACCACAAGAGCACGTCTAGACATGTCAACCATAGTCATGACGGTGACGCTCAGAGCGTTCCTAATGCCATCAGCATCAGCATCACCATCATAGGTATTCCTTGCCGGTGTGATTGTCATCACCTGCAATACGACAAGGATCCTGAGGATAATTAGGACCAGAGCCCTGGACGGTCCGAGGTGCTCAGTGCGGAGCGAAGTTTGCCTCGAACGAGGCGCTGAAGTCCGTGTCCTACCCCATCCAGGCTGGAGCGGAGCGGAGTCCTTCACGGGGCCTTTAGGGAGCGGAGGCCCCAAACTTGAAACTTTGAGAGATGGAGGGGCAGCCCCTTTTTCGCCGTGGTCAGGCGCTGGCGAAGTCCTCGAAGACCTTGCCAGCTATGCTTGGCTGCCTCTGGAGTGGTCACGCTTCGCGCGATTACGGTGAGGTCAGATCGTGTACTAGGTCTACCGCATGTTGCACAGCAGACGGATCAGGATTCGTGCCCCGGAATGCACGAGCACTCGCCTGCAGGCTAGTTATGGAACATCTTCCCGGCAAGTACGGCCAGGTAAGCGAATTACCACACTGCAGTGGATCGCAGCCATTGGCATCACGCCGGGAGCTTGACAAGACTTCTCTGTTTCCAAGGGCCGATCTAGCCAGTGCCCTGGGCTACCGCAATTGCCAGCTTGTTATGTGAAGTGGAGATGTGCAATCATGCCCGTGTGAGAGAAGCAAATCTGGCGCTTTGTAAATCACATCTGGCTGATTTCGCTTTGCTTTTTCATGGAAACAGCCTTTCAAGGCAATCTGGACAAACAAGCCCGGAATTCCAGCACCTCCCTGAACCCCGGCTTGATCATACTGATCCCGAAGCCCGCTGGGCCGTGTTTAGGCTGGGGACTGCCGGCTTCTCCATGTCGGGTAAGAAGGGAGGAGACATCGAGGCTCCTCGTCGCGTGAAGAGCGGACTGTTAGGGGATCTCGGGTCCGAGGTTTGTGTGATACGGTTGATGACAGAAATCCAGCATGAACTAGGGGATGGTGGATCTACTCCTTTATGGGTAATGCAGGATCTATATCATCAACCGTAGCTTCTGGGCAAGTGGGCTGGTGCCAGGATCTGCGGCTATGAGAATCTAAAGCTAAGGTGCTTTTCTTCCCTCCTTCTCAGGGGTTCATCCCTGACAGACAGAGTGACAGAGGCGGAGAGAGCGAGCGAGAGAGTAACCGCACGACGGGCATGGGGTGGATTCACTTCGTACGAGGCTTTCCCAACATCTATCGACCCTTCAGCTCAATAACCCTGTCCCCGAGGAATGGAACGAAGCAGCGAGTCAAGTCACCAAGGTACTTCTGTTTCAATGATGCCGCATTCGGCCCACAGCATTGTGAAGCCATGCAAAGTAGAAGGCAGACCGCCAAAGATGCCGTGCTGCCAAGTGCCACGCCCCGAGTTTTAGTAAAGAAAGGGCGCATCCATCCAAAGGCGAAGCCGGCCACAGGTCAGTCTTCACTGAAAGCCTCCCCAAAGCCGGGTGGCAGCTGTGATGGGAGCCCAGCGGAGGAAGACGAAGACCCAAAAGATGCAGGCCACACCTGGAAAAGGTTGCAACCAGATGACCTCCTGTTTAGTGAAGAGGAGGCTCCTGCCGAGAGCAGCAACATTTTTGCAGGCTTGACGATCAGAGATCTGATGAACCAGGAGCCTATTTGGAAGGTTCCAGCTATATATAGGCACGATGAGATCGTTGACGCAATTCCTGGCACTGCTTCTTCGGATAGTGAGGATGATGCCCAGTCCGATGGCAAAGTTCACCGGGACTTGGACAAGATGTCAGTGAAAGATGACTCACAGAAAGAGCTTGAAGCACTGCAAATCGCGACCATCGTCGGACTTGTAGACAACTTTGAGGTCGAGATCGGGGGCAAGAAGTTGACTCGGAAACTCCTCTTCCTTTCCAACAAGCAGGCACGGATGCTCCCTTTAAACAACCTTGACAAGGTAATGTCAGGCTTGGACTTCTACCCCAGACCGAAACTGGTCATCCAGATGTGCTTTTCGGCGGCAGGGGGACGGTACCAATACAATCGCTTGACATTGACCCAGCATCACTGGAGTAAGCTTGCAGGAGAGGAAGTGAATAGGCAGCACTACTGGGTGTCTGAAGAGAATGGGTTGAATGGCGCGCGGGACACTGAGTACAAGATTCAATCCTTTTTGAAGGATTGCGTGATACCGATGGCAAGGCAGCATAAAGCATTGGTCATTGTTGGGCAAAACGACTGCAGTCTGTCGGCGGTGTTTGGGAGCCTCTGTGAGGAGGAGGCAGAACGCCGCAGGGGGCAACTGGGGTTTTACGTTCTCTCACCCGCGCAGGCTCCGAATGTACTGGAGGCTAGTCACAACCCAGATTCTGTCGCATATCAGCTGCGAAAGAGTTCGAAGAACTGGAGGAGCGCGACCGACAAGATGTGGTATGTATTGAAGAAGGATAGGGGTGCTGAGGCCGTAAATTATTACCCGTACTTGGATGCACCACCTGGATGCTGGGTTGCCGTTAAGAAGTTTCAGTCGATTCGAGTTACAGCAACAGTAGAAGAACAACCCATTGTCTACTCTACACTCCACTGTAGCAATTTTTAAAGCTCCGTCGAAAGCAACCCAGGATGTACACACTATATTGTCGTGGATTGCATCTCTGAGCACGATGGCGGAGATGGACTCAAACGTGATTGGGCACCTCTCAAAATCCTGAATTCAAGACTCTGGCTTGCCATCAAGGAATTAGTTTTAAGTTGCTGTAATAGGGAAAGCCACCGTTTGTTACCATATATCACCATTGTACTAGCTTAAATTAAACTCCTTCACAACAAGCCAGGACTGCTACAGACAATGCTGATAAACCAAATCCCTGGATTTGCGATCGCCACTCTGGACGGGAGCGACGGGCTGCTGTCTGCGAAAGCTTTGGCAGATATTGTTGCCCGCGAAATTCCTTTGCTGCTGCTTGACTCACGAGATCACAAGGAATGTCATGCTTCTGTTGATGAAGCCATCGAAGAGTTGAGGGATCTGGACAAGCGACTCAATGAAGCAGGCACGGGCAATTTCTACCACTATTCTACCATGGCTTTTCTGCACCAAACGCTGACAGACCTTTTGCGCCAACACCGTGCACGTGCCAGACACATAATGAAACGAGTATCCAGCTTGAAGTTTGCTTCCACCGCCTCAGCCTCCAAGATAGGATCACAACCGTCTGAGACAGTGCCGCTTTGGGCACAGATCGCGGCGCTGCTTGAGGAAGCCTCCATCAAGGATTCTCCCGAATCAGAAGCTGCTCCAGCCCAAAAGGAAGATGACAAGAAGCGGCTACTTGCTCAAAAACTGACTGAGAAATATTTGGCTTTAAAAGGCGAGAGACCTACACTGGTTTATCCTGAGTGGGGCCAGTGGCGAGACTGCAGCGATGTGCCGAAAGAGCACTTCAGAGATGCTCAGATGCGGATGATGGGCCAGCTTGTTCGCTGCACTTCCAGAGAAATGTTGGATGAGTTTCTTGCAGTACTCACTCTTGCCTCCCCGATAACGGTAGCAGTTGAGCTGGGCAGGTCGAAAACTCGCAAAAAGCTCGAGTCCGGTGGGGGAGGGTCTCTGTTTTGCAAGAGATATGGCTTGAAACGCACGTATCTTTGGAAAGAGCTGCTTCAAGTAGCTCCAGGAGCTCACTGGGAGCATGCACAGTTCCATCTTCTCGGCATTCTGAAGAAGCAAGCCCTGGGCTTCGAGGGTTGGTTCCAGACGAGGAGCTATTTACAGTGTTCTCCAGAGATCAAGGCTGCCATAATCGAGGTGCTGATGTCTCCGATGACGCATTCAGTGAACCTGGGAGCTCTGAGCCGCATTGACAGGGTACTCATGCAGATGCACTCAGATCGGCGGAAACCTGGCATCGGTCGGGATCTTGCCAGTTGCCAGATTCTCCAGCGCGCTTGGGTCGATGTCGATGTGTACCATCACGTTGCCACCCGAATGAAGTATGTTGCCAAAGTCTCATATGCGATGTTGCTGCTGACAGGCTACACTATTACAGCTCTCACGCTTGTAAACATGAACATACCCGAAGCCATTCCGGCAGACGTGGCAAATTATTGCATTCTAGGCTTGTCTCTCAGTGCAGGGTTAACATCAGCTCTGATCGCATTTTTGGATCCCACGACAAAGTGGCAAAAGTTGCGTGCTGCAGCTCTTGCTTTAGAGGCAGAGATTTGGAAGTTCAGATCTTGTGCCGATGTGTATTCCCGGGACATGACGTCCAGTGATGTGGAAGCGCCAGAAGAAACGCTTTGGCATTTTATTGCTGCAATGGAAGATTCTGTTTTGAAATCCGCTGGCGTCTCTCAGACTTCCTTCCTTTCCACATTTAGCTTCAGCCGTGCCCCTGTGTCCGTTAAAGTCTACAGACACGGGCAGTACGAAGGAGCAGCCCGTGCTGGCACTTCACGTTCCGGAGATCCCGAGGTTGAGGATGACCACTACTCATGCCTGTCCGCTCGCGAGTACATGGCTCTCCGCTTTCACTCTTGTGTTCATTTCTACCAGCAGCGCTTGCCCAGATATGCCAGGTGGCATGCTGTGAATCAAGCCATCTTAGCGGTGGCTTCTGGGTTGCTGACGGTACTGGTCTACTTGGGCGCAACACACTGGTGCTCTGCCTGCACGGCAGGCACTGCGGCATTGACAGCATGGTCAGAATTCAATGCAACCCAGCGAAAAATGAGACGCTATTCTGAAACGGTCCATGAGGCTCACCAAATACTGCTCTGGTGGCAGTCTTTGCCGCGCATGCAACAGACAGCAAGCTTTGACCTGCTTGTCCAGCGATGTGAGATCTGTTTTGCAAGCGAGAACTCTTCGTGGGTGTCCTCGATGAACCAACGCCATGGGCAACGGATGACGTCGAAAGAAGATGCTCCTGATGATGAGCAAGGCTAGCTGTAGGTGACTCCACCGGCCCAAACAGAGTTGGGAAGCATTGGGCTTTGCGAATGCAAATCGAGTCTGATGTGTCAGTCACCTCGGCCGCTCCAACAATGGAAAAGGCTAGATAGAGGCTTTGCGTCATGCAAGGAAACGGCCCGTGTGCAAGCACCATGTCTCCTGCACTCCTCCATGCTTTGATATCCTAGCCCCCCCCCAGCGCCCAAATCTGGAACAAGACGGTGCTGAGCGAGATGAATCCTCGAGCTGCACATCTGACCCTAAAGCTGCATGTCCATCCCCTACCTGCCTTAGGGGAGTGCGCGAGAGCAGGCGAAGCCCCTCGGAGTCCTACTTCTCGTGGTGTCGCTTCTCTGCGAGCAGCTAAGAGCGATTGTGGGGTCCCGGCTGTACGAGGTTTCTGGGTTAAGGGGAGTTGGTGGTAGGATTCAGAGGAGCTGCAGGGAAAGTTCAGGGGGTCTTGACATGTTTGGTGATCTCTATCAGTACAATGACCTGACACTCAAAAGTTCGGGACTTGGCTTTCACGGTCGAAGACTGCGGGCTTCAGGCTCACCTTAACGTTCGAAAGCCAAGACGTCAAAGCTCCGAGTTCCGAAGTGAGGTTAAGGGTGCTGAACACCAAACCCCGAGTGCCCCAAGTGAAGAAGAGACTAAACGCCTCTGGTTCCAAAGAGGCGTGACTTTAAAGGTTCCTGTCATGCCCGGAGACGTCGCAAGACATCGACTTGAGGTCTGAAAGCTCTGAGGAAGTCTTCTAATAATAATAATCATAATAATAATAAGAAGAATAATAGTCATAGTAATACTAAGGCATCGAGAACCAACACTCCCAAAGCCTTAAATCCGAAAGCCATCGAGTTTACATGCCCCTCCAGCCCCTAAAGCCCCAACATCGTCCGATCCGATCTGGCAAAGGCGATGGCACTGTCTCCGCAGCGCAGGAGAAGATGAGAAGTCAGACTGCGCAGCTCTCACCGTGACCGACTAAAGACAGCATAATATGGGTTCAGGGCCTTCGGGGTTAAGATGGCATAGCATGCGAGGGCCTGACGCAATCTAGCATGCGTAGTGGAATATCAGGTATTGCGACAAGCAACATAACAAAGATTTGACAGGGTATCGGGTAAGACGATGCTGTGGCACAGCATGATGTAACAGGAGCACCGTGTATTTGGGGTGCCGCACGGGGCAGGTTCCACGCTCTATGTGCAAGGTTTTCGGGGTTTGTAGGAGTGATCTCGGGTCGATGGGTCGCCATGCGTGCGTTTAGATTGAATCTTTCAAGATCCGTACAACGGCCGGCTTGCAGTTGGACGTGAGGAATTCTAGTGAGATTCTAGTCGCGTCAGCCGCCACGAGGTTCCAGTAGTGTGTTATAGACCTGGAGGTGTAATCTGATTGCGTGCAGCATTATCATCACACTATGGCGCCGGTAGATTAGTGACTGGTGCTACTCTTGACATGTCCGTGTTGAGCTCGTTTCCAGGAGGGGTCAGGCCCAACACCTCCAACCCACCACTTACCGCAAGAGTAGAGACTCTACCGACAGGTACGAGCAGATGTTCATGACAAATGCAGGGGCAGCGCTGCTTCTGCTTCCGGCTGCATTCCCAGCACTAGCAGTTCGCACTTTTAATATGTAACGGGGAGGCCTGTACCCTCGACTACGTGAAGTGACCTTTCCCGCTACAGCGGTATTAGACAGGCTTGGCATCCTGGACACCTTAAAGGGCTGTCTTCAATATGCGTAGGCAGGTGCGTTTGTGCAAGGAAGAGAGATACAGCATCGGATGGACTAACTGCAGCGTACTGCAGCATCTAGAAGACCTGTCTAAGCTGCCTTCGCAGTTTCCAAGTTGTTTTCGGAGACGTATGCTCCAGTCTTCTCGAACCCGTCTTCCTGCAGATATCCAGGCAATAACAGTAACGCTTAGAATGAAAACAACGGGAAACGATTGCATTGTCAAGGTTTCATTCCTGACCGGCCAGCTGAACGCAGGCGGACGGGCTCAGCACCACAGCCACAAACCCCAAAGTGTGATATGCTAACAGATTTCAAGGCATGCTCTCATGTCTGTCCGTCTATCAAGAAAGTGGCCCGTTGCAGATTGAGGTGTCAAGTTTCTCTTCGAGAACTTCACGATTCTTGATGAGGTGGATCCGAATTCACGTGCACGAGTTCACGTGCAAGTCCTCAGCGCATTGCGTCTTAAAGACCGAGCCCGGAGTTTCGGGTTGTCCGTAGAAGGATGGTTTGGAAGAGAAGCAGCAGCAGCCGCAGCAGCAAGAGGAGGTGAAGCAGAAGCAGCGACAGCCGTAGCGGGAGTTGAAGTGGTGGTGGTGGTGGCGGCAGAGGTGGTGCTGTTTGTCATCCTTTTTGCTATGTTACTGGCAGAATCAGTGGCTGCTAGTACTGCTGACTACTACTGCGGCGACGACGCCGACTATTACTGCTACAGCTGCTGCTGCTGCTGCTGCTGCTACTAGTACTACTGCGACGGGAACCCTGCTTCTTCTTCTGCTGCTGCACTCCTGCCGGTCAGCTCGGGTCAGTCCCCAATCCTGGAGCGAAGCCTAGCCCTAGCACTATCTCGCAAACAACAGCAGGCGCGGCAAGAGTGCTGAAGATCACATCCTTCAAGATTCGGCGTTTTTGGTCGCATGCCTGCAACAGATTCGGGTCCCTAGAAGCAGAAGTCCCAGTCCCCCATTCGGCAAAGCTCCAACAATCTAGAGCCCAAGTCTTGAAAACCACAAAGTCCCAATCCCCTGAAACTCCTGAAATCCCGAATGCGTAGCTCTCCAGCCTCAAGCTTACTTCGTCGCAGATTGCCATCTTCGCTATCTGCTCGGCGCTGGGGCAGGCATTTTTGGATGGGTGAGTCATTGAGGGGGGGGCACGTGGATCTTACTCTTCGTGCTTATCATGGTATGTTGACAACGCAATCTTCGTGCTTGGAGCTGGGCCCGTCCGAGCATCTTACGAACACATCCTGAGCTACCTCAGCGCGACAATGAATGCCGTGTCTCGATGCAGTTCTCCCAGTACCATTAACGCATGCCGATGAAGTGCTCATCTGCATACGATGGTTGAGGACGATACAACATGTTGTTGTTCTAGATGATAGCGACGCTCTCGCTGGTGCTGATGGTATTGGTGGTGGTTGTGGTGGTGAAGATGTGAGCGATGATGTGGAGGAGGAGGAGGAGGAGGAGGAGGAGAAAAAGCAGGAGGAGAACAAGGAGGAGAACAACGAGGGGAGGAGAAACATCAGGAGGAGGAGGAGGAAGACGGGGAGGAGGAGGAGGAGGAGGAGGAGGAGGAGGAGGAGAAAAAGGAGGGGAGGAGAACACGTTGGAGGAGGAGGAGGAGGAGGCAGCGGAGGAAGGTACTACTACTATGTGCCGATGGTGTTGATGATGATGGTGATGATGGTGATGATGGTGGTGGTGGTGGTGGCGTCGTTGTCTTTGTTGTTGTTGGTGGTGTTGGTGGCGGTGGCGGTGGTGGTGGCGGTGGTGATGCTGGTAAATGTTGGTCGTGGTTATTGTGCTGGAGGCAGTAGTCGTGCTGGTGCTGGTAATAGCGGTGTAATTTAATAGTGGTGATGTTGAGGATGATGCGGAAGAGGATGATGATAACGGCATTGTAGCTAGATGCCTGTATCGAGAATGCAGATCGAGATGGACACTGATACCAGAGTCCCGGTGATGTTGCTTCTTCTTCTTCTTATCGTTGCTGTGGCTGCAGTTGTGGTTAGCAAAAAATGAAGCTGCTGCTGCTGACGACACTGTTGTTTGAGCCGATTAGACAAGGGGTTCTGACATTGCATTGATCAACGCGGCAGGTCTTCATCTTCTTGACGATTGCTTGGTTTGGACCCGACACGAATGCGAAGATCACGACCATTCGCGGGGTCCTCACTCACCGTCACAACTGGGATCGAGTGGTCCCACCTCAAAGTTTTTCCTCCTCTTGAGCTGTGTACTTTCACAGTAAATTAGTGTTGCAATGCACAGAAATGTCTTTGTAATCAACAACAAGATTGCGGTCCTCTTGGTGCTTGAAGGACCCTCCCTTTGCACTGCTGAGCAGGACTGGATGTCACTGATGTCACATTATGTTTTTGGCCATTTTCCTCTTCTTTCCTGATCGGCACGTAGAGCTTAATCTCACACCGCCGAAGCCGGGTGTTTCATGCCTTGAGCCCGAGACCTAAACCGTTGCACTGCACCCGCCTCGCCCCTGTTTCGTCAAGGCCACTGCTGTCAGGGAGTCGAAAGGGTTTCAGCGCCTCGATGGTTCTCTACATAGGTTCTACATCTTACGAAGGATTGTATCGCAGGTTTTTGGATTCAAGCTTGATCACTTCATTCCCAAGACCCTAGAAAGACCTCAGAGGGTTGGGGCAGAAGTCTCAAGTCCCTATAGCCAGAGGGGCAGGAAGCATCCCACTTCCGTGCCGAGGGAAGATGGCCACGGTTCTGATCTCCATCGTGTGGTTCGGCAGGGGGCCCCGGCGTAGCCAAAGGGCTCTGGGCTCAGGCGTCGGACCTGAATGCCTGTTCAGGGTCATGAGGGTCTTCGCAAGGTCTTGCACGGTGATTTTAGGGCTTGGTAGGGTTTCAGAAGGGCCGCAACTTTGGGCCAGAGCCTTAACTCCCCAAAACCCCCTCAAGAGACCATCCTGTCCATAATAACTCGTGGCAGGCCATAGCATGGCCAGCATGCAGTGGGTCTTTGTCGGACTTGCGGTGGCCTCATCGCAGTCGTGCAGGCTTTGGAGTACAAGCTTCGGGCCTCGGGGTTTACCATATTCTTCGGCGGCAGTCTGCAGCTGAGCCATATGTGGTCACGCGCTCCGCGGCCCCCCCCTCCCTCCCCCCCCTGTCCCCCCAAAGGTCAATGGTCCGGATAGAGGGTGGCCCACAGGTACAAGGCTTCGAGTCGACAAGGGCTTAGGGAGGATTTGCGGTGTATGTTCTGCTTTGGGCTTAGAGCCTACATTTAGGCGGGGTTTAGGGTTGGGTGTAGGGTTTAAAGTACAGGTTAAGGTTGAGCAAAACAGGAGCACGCGGGACGTTTTGGGGTTGACGGCTTGAGCCCTGGCCGCCCCCGCCCCGCCAGCACCGTTAGTGGCAGCTCCAAACGGCCCCCGCCGCTTCCGCACGTGCCAGCCCCCCCCCCCCCCCACCCCAACCCCTACCAGACAATACCATTGGGGGGGGGGGGCTGGGAACGCCAGCATATATCATGGGTAAGTGGGGGGGAGTTTGGCTTTCTTGTCTGCTAAAACGAAGGTCTGTACATCGAAGGCTACTAGAGGCCGAGGCCGACGACGGCACCTTCCGCTTTCCACGTGATACGGCCTATGGCTTTCTCAATGCTTAGTACATGATACGGAGCTGGGGGATCAGCATTGTTTCGCCAGATATTGCTTTAAGCTCAGTCCAGGGTTCAGGGTGCGCAATCCTGCTGCGGAGTCTGTCTCATTTTGCATCCACCAATGTCGTCTCTTTCGGCCCTCAGGTCCTTCAAAGTCCAAGCTTTGAACCTGTTTTCTCGCGACAAGCACTCGTTCCAAGGTCTTTGCATCCGTCATCGCAGAGATCAGCGAGAAGCTGTCGGGTCCACAGCTTTCACTTTCGATGGGCTTGACATGTCCTATTGCGCATGCTGGTTGTGCGTGTGGCCGTCTTCGTGTACAGCACAACTCCAACTCCGCATTCTGTTGTCGCTACCGCTACAGCAGACATTGACTGTTGCTTTTCTGTTGATTTCCTGATTTGATACGAAGACCCAGCGAGAAGCTTGAGCCGCAGACTGCAACTGTATTACCCCATATGCTGCTTGGCCAGTTTTCGGCATTTGCGAGTGCAAGCAGAATCACTTGGAATCATAGAAATGGGCCTGATGTGATTGTTGCTTTCATGAGCACTGGAGCCCATTCTTGTCAACCGACGTGCCGTCCCGTAACACCATGTCGATCCTGATTCATCTCTGGCCGGTGAGGATGAAGCACAAGAAGAATGGCGATGCAAAGAACGGCAATGCGAAGAACGGTGATGCCAAGAACGGCGACAAGAAGGGGGACAAGAAGAAGCAGTAGATCATTGTGAGCGTTCTGTGCCAGCTGCAAGGGCACGAGGATGGGAGGCTTCAGCAAATGAATTTTTCTTCAACCAAAGCCCCGGACTCCCCTAAGCCGTGATGCGCTACTACTGCAGAGTCACTGCTGAGTATAAAGCATCTAGGACACAATAAAGGACGAAACAACATAACATGAGCATGTTGCTTGTCACGGCCTGGAAATGAATCCCCTACAGCCACAGTCAGGGCTGGCAAGCCTCGCCCTTTCCAGCACCGAGATTTTGCAGATACCTCGGTAGACCGAAGCAGTGCCGCTGTTGCGAAGCAACAGTAGCAGTGCTTCTGCCAGCCCGGCTTGGTACTTGCACAGGGATGAAGACGTCGACGAAGGTGGTGAGGGAGATCCGCAGGATTCTTGCGGAAACAGCGTCTTCATTCTCAGCCGAGTACCATGGTCAGTCTCCACTGCCGAAACTCTAGGCAGTGCAGCCGTGTTGCACTAACGAGACTCCTCCAGCTCGTGGTGAACCGAGCCGCTGACAAGTTGACTCAAAGCGATGCTGGTATCTTGACAACGTGAACTTGGAGTGGCCTTCGAAAGAGAAGGTTTCAAATTATAGTCGCAGCAGCAAGGCTAGAATACGCTAGAGTTGTGTCGGAAGCTCGAACAGGGATAGCGGGATAAGGTCAGGATCAGCCTACGGTATCCGAAGAGCGGAATCCACCCCCCCTGAGCCGAGCGGAGTCTCCGAGGAGCTCAGATTAGCTTTAACACCGGACCCGGTGTTGTGCTGGGACCTCCCCGAAAGTCGCGAGCAGTCGCAAGTTATACATACCGGCCGCACAGGCACCGCGAAGTGGAAATCGTTGTGTTTGGTTCTGGGAAACCTCGAACATGCAGTCTTAGCACCACCGATCGTGTAAGTGTTACTGTATGATCTTTACGACTTCTTCTGCCCTTGTTTTGAGCCCGGGGTCTTTGAATCGATTTTTCAGTTCCGCTGCCCGAGGGTTTTTTCTCACACGTCCCAGGCGTTTCAGGTTCGGGCCCTCCGATTCATCACGAGGCTGTGTTAATCATTGGAGCCCTCCATAGCCGGAGCCCTACGGTCTTTGAGAATCGATCGCAGGCAGGGCGCTATGTTGATTTCAGCGTTTTCAGCTTCTGCAATCGAGATCTGTGGGGTTGGTCGTAGGAGCCCTCTATAGTTTAGCAAAACGGCGGTGGCATGTCCGGTGAAATGTGGCAAGCGTGGAAGGCTCAAAGTCCATGAGTCGCGCAGGAGCCATAGCCCAGCACCCATGGCGCTGGAGGCGGCACCATGGCACAGAGACAGCAAGTGATCTGTAACGCATGTTATCATGATGTGTGACGCTGGCCCGTTCGCATCTTCATTAAAGAGCCGAGACCCCGAACCCACCTTGAGAAAAGCAGTCTTCTATGCGGCGGCGCCCCTGCAGCGTTGCTGGGTGCGCCTGTGGTTCTTGCAGGCACGGGCTGGACGCGTAGGGTTTCGGAGCGGTGAAGAAGCGTCAGCATCCCCAACACAAATCCCAAAAGCCCTGACCCACAATCTCGTGGGGCTGCAGGATTTCGAGAACCTCCTCAGCCAAACAGCTTATTGTGTTGGGGCGAGGATTCGTGGCCTCAACATCCTCCTCAAGCATCCAGCCCTGCATCGTTACTACTACTCCTTTCCTGCTGCTACTGCTGTTGCTACTGCTGTTGCTACTGCTGTTGCTACAGTACTGCTGCTGCTGCTACTTGCTACTGCTACTGCTGCTGCTCCTGCGGCTGCTACTGCTCCTGCTGCTGCGACTGCCAGTGCCGGTGCCACGGCCACTGCTACTGCTACTTCTACTGCGACGACCTTTATTGTCGATAACTTTCTTCCTCGCAACCTAAACCATCCCTCAACCCCAAACGGGCATGACGAGACAGTTCACAGAATCATATTCCGATGGCAGTTAACCAAGACCTCCCGGTGCTAGAAGTTCGCCGCACCCGCACTTCATTCTTCCCGCTGAGGGCTCCGATGCTGCGGAGGGCGTGGGAACCCTGGCAGGTCGTGGGGTTCATGGTTTCAGGATTTGACCTCTTGTTGGGTTCAGGATGTTGGGCCTAGATGGTCTAGAGCTGGGGCCTTACGTAAGACCTAGAGAAAACTGCGGATCGGAACTGTGTCTTATGACTCTTCTCAGCAAATTTGAGCCTGTTTGTGACAGTCTGTGGCAGTTTGGCAGTATCACTGTAGCTACGCGTGCCCTTCTTGATATTCTCGTAGCGCTTTGTTGCTTCTTGCAGTCGCAGCATTGTTGTGTCGCATCTATCCGTGTTTTCCCCGAAAAGGCCGTAGGCTTAGATGTACGAGACGGTCCCCCCAGCTCTGGTCGACTATCTCGGTTCATCTTAGCAGATACCCCTCCGCCTCGGCCCAGGTCCGAGAAGTCATCCACGTGCCGGAGTTGAAAGACAAAGCCGTGCTGCCCAGATGTTGTGAATTGCCTCCAATCCCTCGAATGTTTGATTCCACTACTGGACATGTATTTTAATCGTGTAGGCATCGGGAGTCGTTGCTGCGTTACAGTCAGCCGCACAAGTAGCAGTCCACCGAATGCCTGCGAACCTACAGGAGATGCGTGCCGCCCGGGGCAAACCTGTGCTGTGATTAAGTATTATTCTGATACTATTGTAATATTGATTTAATATGATCGCAACAATAAGAAGAACAATAGTAATTATCGACGACGACTACTACTGCTACTACGATGAGTCTCGCTGGAGGCGGCCTTTGCCTAATGACCCTGGCT